GGGACATCCATGAGGAGATGTCCTTTAGGATTTAGAAATAGTGTGGTTTTGGAGTTCAGGAGAGAAATAAGAACCCAAGAAACAAAAGGGAGTCATCCCCATAAAAAGAATCATCAGAAGAAGGCATGGACTTCGATAAGAGGGATGAGGGTTAGAACATGGAGTGGGAAGACTGGCAGGGGCAGTGACATCTTGACCTCATTCCACTCACACATGTAATATGTGTTTACCATATTTCACTGGCTCAAAATGACATTGAATTTTAAGACATACCATTGTTCTATGTACCACTAAGAAAATATGCTATCAATAATGATGATGTTATTTATTGACTATGAGGTACAACTGATTTCAAAGATACAGAAATGTGGGGGAAATACGTCTTAGAATTAATTAAGTTATATGTCAGGCATTGTACCAGGCATCAGGAGGAAGGGAGTGGGATAAAGCTCTGAGAAAGACCCTGCCCTCAAAAAGCTTCCAATCTCATAGCAACACCTACAGACACTTCTAAACCGACAGACTGATGGAGACAACTGCTACAGTGCAGACACCAGCTCTGTTCACAGATCAGCAGCTGCTTGTCAAGTATTTATAGGAGTTATTAATATAGACAGAACTGACAGCCACCTCTTTCTTGGGATTTCTAGTCCTCCCCCTCCTTTTCCCTGATGCCTGAAATGTCTAGGGACAAAGCCTTTCAAACCATTATTTTTGAATGAATTGAGGTAATTCATTGTGGGTGTTGAACTGGTACAACTCCTATGGAAGGCAATTTAGCACTATTCAAATTACAAATGCGTTTGCCCTTTGGCCTTGCAATATATATAGTGTAGGAATATATCTTGCAGATATACTCACCCACGTGGAAAATGCTCTATATACAAGGTTATATTTATTACTGCATTGTTTGAAATAGCAAATAATTTGGAACAACTTAAAAATCATAGACAGGGTTAGATTATGGAACAGTCATTCATACAGTGAATCCCAGATCAAGGAAGTGCTTGATCTATGAACAGATCTCTGTATGAAAAGATTCCTGACATGTATTGTTGAGTGAAAAAATCCTAAGTGCAAAATAGTTATAGTAGACGACCATTCGTGTTTTAGAAGGGAAGAATCCATATCTACAAATCTGCTTGTGTACATATAAAGAAACTTTAGGATAACAGGAAGAGAGCAATGGTTATGCTGGGGGAGGGGGCGGTATCAAATTTGGCAGGTGGACTAGAGAAGGGAGAAGGACTTTCCATACTTTATTTTTAAATTATGTGAATGTATTATCTACTCAAAATGTTAAAGGAATTGAACTGTGTAAAATACCCCATGGGAAGAGTTCACCCAGTGACTATGATTCCCACCAAAGGGTGGAAGTCTGCTATTCATTCATTCATTCATTCAATAACCTATAGCAATCAAAAAACTTCTTTAGCAATAATAGTTAACAAGCGTTAGGTACTCCTGTAGCTGTCTACACAGATCAAATCAGGTACTTTTGAGAGGCACTTTCATGTACACAGTCTCATTATAATCCTCGAGCATCACAGAAGAGGAGGCTGCGGGTGAGAGAAGTTGTTCTTGTCTAAGGTCAACTGCAATGTCCAGGCCCCACCGTCCTGGACTAGGCCTGGAACTGGGCACGAGGGACATCACGACAAAGACACAGCCCCTGCCTTCTTGGACGTCCTACTCTAGTGAGGGAGCCAAGCCTGTGAAACGGCAGCTTCACAGACAGCATCCGAACAGGGAGGGGAGTTAGAGCACAATGTTAGGGGACAAAGGGAACAGAGAGCCTGGGGACAAGGAGAAAGCCTCTCCCACGACACCCTTCTGCCAAGGACAGGCCCTGTAAGCGCGGTGGAGCGGGTGCCTATGTGGGAGACAGCCCCTGCAGCCTCAGCACCAACAATGGACAAAGGCTGCCGGTGCTCCGTAAGAACAGAGGAGATCTGACAACTGCCCCGGCGCGACTGATCCGTGTAGACATCCCTTCTGGACTTTGAAGCCTGAAGTGCTCCCCTGTAGCTGTCTACACAGATCAAATAAGCTGGATGGCTGCCCTATCTTGACTTCACTCTGTGCTGATCCAGTTCCAGCCAGCTCCAGTGCAATCCGACCAAACCATCTGAGCAGAGGCAAAAGCAACTCTCATGGGGAAAGAGAGACAGAGCCAAGATGTGAGCATTAACTTCGTGCTGCCACCTCAGAGGGGACTGGGTTTTGAGTTAGTTTTAGAAGTGTCCAAGAAGGGAGCTCTGTCCCTCTCCGTGGTGAAGTGGTAAAACTGTTTTGTCTCCTTATAGTTGACAGCCCTTCCTATTCCAGGGCTCATATATGAACACCCGTAAGAGCTGACAATAGATAGCTCTGATCTGGCCCTCAGAAAGACAACCCTACCCTAAAATCAGGCATCATCCCACTGCACCAGCACCTTTTTATTCTTGGGATCATTCTAGGGGAAACCTTATCCCAGCCTCCTCAGTCCCCCAGCAACAGTGAGGCTCTCCGGAAATCCTTGTCACCAAACTGGCAGGACCAGGCATCTAACAACAAACCCAGAAGCTAAGTGGCATCGTTAACAAGGATTAGAAATCTACATGAGTTCTGACATCTTCTTGCTAGCTATGGTTTCCATGGAAATAGACATCTGCTCTAAGGAGAAAGAAGAGGTGGGGGGGAAGCGTTGTAAATGCTTTAAAATAATCAGTGTTTTGAAAGATTAATTTTTTTCCTGTCACAACATTAATAGTCAGAAATGTGAGATTTTTGCGTGGCAATTTCTTTCCTTTTCCTTTTTTAATGCAGCAAATGGGTGGGACCTTCTTCTGGAAACCTCCAGATCAAGTACAAAGACTTCAAGATAAAGGGTGGTTCCGGGGATAATAGAACTCTTGGTCTTGGGTTCCTTGCTCGGTTGTGTTGCCTGCCAATCTGTCGCTTCAGGGAGGTCGAGTCCTCACTCTCTCCAGCTTTTCTAACGATTTCTGAAATTTCACTCTGAAAACTGAAAAAGATGGAAACACCTCGCTGTTTCGTGGCCAAGTTTGGTATGAGAAGGAGAAGCCTTCCAGGGCTGAGAATCCGAGTAATTTCTGGTCCTGCTCACATGCTAAGGGAAAACCACTTAGATTGGAGGCAGGAGAAAGGCTGACCCCACAGAAGGGCAATTGTTGTAGAAAATGCAGCAACAAGCATATTTCAGGCCACAGTACATTGTTAACTGTTTGCTTTGTGTGGTGTGTCTGCTGCCTGTATGATCCAGTTTTCCTTGTCTCGGGTCCGATTCACTGCATTTATCGCCACATCTTTAGTGACTAGACAGGGGTGGGCAAACTTTTTGACTCGAGGGCCACAATGGGTTCTTAAACTGGACCGGAGGGCCGGAACAAAAGCATGGATGGAGTGTTTGTGTGAACTAATATAAATTCAAAATAAACATCATTACATAAAAGGGTACGGTCTTCTTTTTTTTTTTTTTTAGTTTTATTCATTTCAAACGGGCCGTAGTTTGCCCACAGCTGGACTAGCAGGATATGGAGAGTCTTTTAAAATTAGGACTGTTGTTTCAGCAGAGTTGGACATATTTGTTTCTGGGTTTGGGGAGAGGGAGCCCATTGTTTAATAAAATGAAGATCGCCGAAACCGGTTTGGCTCAATGGATAGAGCGTCGGCCTGCAGACTGAAAGGTCCCAGGTTCGATTCCGGTCAAGGGCATGTACCTTGGTTGCGGGCATATCCCCAGTAGGAGATGTGCAGGAGGCAGCTGATGGATTTCTCTCTCATCGATGTTTCTAACTCTCTATCTCTCTCCCTTCCTCTCTGTAAAAAATCAATAAAATATATAATAAAATAAAATAAAATAAAATGAAGGTGTTCTTCTACCCAGTTAGGATGTCAAAGCAGGTGCATTAGTGTAATGACCACTACCTGAGGACACAGCCTTGGCCAGGGGAATGGGAGGAGGGGCCTGGGAACCATATTCATTTTATTTTATTCCCTCAGGCCTTTTTGTGGGAAGAGGGAGGCCAATCATTCTAATCCGATAGCCAGGGTCAGACCAATTTCCTTTGTACCTCCGCTGTGGTTGGATCTATCCAGGCGTGGAGGAATAGTGACCTTGTGGCTCCTTTTGTTTAAAAATATTTTTTAAAAAAGGCCCAGCAACGCTCTGGGGAGCACGTGCTCCGAGAACAAAAGCAACACTTAAGGGCAGTCTGTGTAACTGCTTTTGCTCTTCCTTCCCTATCATCTGGCCAAAGGCAGGCAGAACAGATGGAGTCTGCATTTAAGCCAAGTGACTGTGAGACCAAAGGAGATCAAATTCCAGAGCTTTTGGTCTAAGTCACTCACGCTTTCCCTCCTCAGCTCTGATCGCCAGTTTGGGGACCCGTAGGATGGTAGCGAGAACGCACACAGTGAGGAAAGGGCCACGCCCGTGATCTGTTAGGGCGGAGTGGTTTAGGGATTATGATGATGTCACAATACAGGTGATACGCAGGTGCCAAGGTACGGCCTCGGGTGCAGGGGGCCTTTCCAAGGGGCGTAGAGTGGCATTGTCCTGTCACAAGGGCTTGGGCATCTTAGGTAGAGGCACCGGAAGGGACACCGTTGGGGCACTGCGCCATCTGAGTACTGTCCTTTCGACGAAGCGGAGCAAGTAGCCCAACCGAGGCGGAGTCCAGGGAGCCACCCTTGGAGAGGTGCGGAGGGATCCCGTCCCGCCCCGCCCCGCCCCGTCCTGCCCTTTTCCCAGGGATGGGAGAGCTGGTTCAGATCCAGACCAAGGGCCATGTCCTTTTCCGCCGCTAGACAACCGCCTGGGTCCCCGGTTTATACCTGGGGAGACCCCTACACGCCCCCACCCCTCGCATTGTCCTCCTGCCACGCCAGCCTGGACTACATTTCCCGAGGTGCTTCGGGGCCCACAGGGGCGGGGTCCACTGCGCTCGGGGGGAAGGGGCCGGCACGTGCCGCCCCTCTCAGCCAATGCAGAGCCCTTCGGGGAGGTCACGTGCCGCTGTTTGGCGCTTTTGTGCGCGCTCGGGTCTGTTGGTGCTCAGTGCGGCCAGGCGGCTCGGACCGGGCAGGTGGGTGTGGGGCTCTTGGAGGAGCCTGCAGGCAGCCAGGGGGACGGGATGGACGGGAT